CGCACTTGTAAATAATTACACATACACAATACATATACATATACACACTTACACTTACACGATGCAAAATATATTCATATTGCTCCTATACATTTGTTTATCTTATATTTGTATATTCGATATTTACATTTTGATCGCACATTCGATTTGGTTGTAACTTATTGGGTACTATAAGTCTCATCCCCTTTGTACATTTATACCCCCACTCCCGGACACTATTTTGTAATAGCGTAGATTTTACATTCCGCAATTTACAGTTTTCAATTATACCATGGTTAGACCTAGGGTTTGTATGTACATAAAATCAAACGCTAGATAACCTAATACAAGACAAATACATGTAATCAATACACAATCACACTTGCACCCCCCTAGGGTAATCCCACATGTTGCCTTCCAAAATGGGCCATGCTTGCACGTCGAGTATCTTTGGCAAAACAAAATCAAATAATCATAAGTCCCTCGATGACGCTTTCGAATGTTGCCTAAACGGAATGATCATAGTCCCTTCAAAGCAAATTGCCAAAGAAACTTGGCATCATTGCATTCATGGTCCATACGATGACCCACGCCCGTCCCGAATAAACTTCCTAAATGCAAGATTGCCTACCAATTTCAATGGTAGAACAAAAATTGTTAAAAGGGGTTAAAACATAACAAAAACCTTTGAGTACAATAGGGTAGACAAGACTCTTAGTTACTTGAGATCAAAATTGCAAAAAACACTTGCCTTCTTTTCAAAAACCACAATCCACAACACTTTCAAACAAACTCTCAAAAACATTTGAAAACATCTTTTCGAAAAGATTCACACTTTTGTAAAACACTCAAACACGAGTCAAATACATTAGTTGCCTAAGACAAGGCATCTTTCTCCAAAACATTTTCAAAAAGCACCCACACACACACCATTTTCAAAGCAATCGAAAAACAAGGCAAGTGATCTAAAAAACCAAGTAACTAAGAGCCCATGGATAACCATGGATGAAAAGGGTGCTAATACCTTCCATTTTCATAATCTACCCCCCGAACCCACGAAATATCTCAAAAAGGTTTTTGCTGTGCTTTTTAACCTTTCCTTTAGGATAAAATAAAAAGTCGGTGGCGACTCTTGCTCAACCGCACAAGTGCGAATACGAACGCAAAACACTAGTCAGTTCTCCCACCGTATCACAACAAGGATCAATGATGAACAAAAGGAATATATTTATGAGAGCAAGAGAATAACGGCTACAAATTTATAAGGAAGAATGATTGAACAATGATTATTGTTACTGTTACTGTTACAAATGACAACTACTACTAGTCTATTTATACACAAAGTAAATTGTCACGTAAGCCCTAATAAAAGGTAAACTTAATGGTTAAGTAAAAAGGTACAAACTAGGAAATACTAAACTTAACAGCTAAGCTAACAAACTCAGAACCCAGAACCCTAGAAGCTAAGCATACTTCTGGGCATAACCTTAGAAGCTTCTGCTTTTGATTAATAACAACTTCTAGTTACATCAAACTAAGAAGCTTACAAATTCTGGCTAACAACCTCAGAAGCTCTACTGCTTCTGAGTAACAACATATTTTGAATATGAATTACTTCCAACACCATCCCTTAATTCATATTCAACTAACCAAAAATCTTCAACACCATTTCCATCCCTCAAACGAATAAAGTGTTTAGTCTTGACATCCTTCGTCAGAACATCTGCAAGTTGCTTCTGGTTGCTATAGTGTGAAACTTCTAATACTCCATTTAGAAATGCAGATTTCTCCTTGAAAACAAATATGATACTGATGTTTTTCTTCTCCTTCGGAAACTCTGTCATCTTCTAAGTCTTGTTTCTTTAAATAACATCAAGTTCTTATTTCATGGATTTCAACCACACTTTCTTCTTGAGAGCTTCACAGGTTGATAATGCAACCACCAGTTGCTTCTTGGAGCACCAATAAATAGGACTTTCCAGATACAAACAAAAATATCCAAAAGTATTTCTTCTGTCAACTCTGTCTTCATACCAATCAGAGTTTGGATAGCATATCAGCTCTGCATCTGATCTAACACTAGAAGGGAATAACGCTCCATACCTCAAAGTCCCTTTAGTATCTCGCAGCTTGCAAATCTCCCCGGTATATTTTTGACTCCATGTGACCTCTGAACTTGTTCAAAATCTCCTTCTGATTCTAGAACAATATCTCTTTCTGGACTTTCTTTAGAAGTTTGACTACCACCAGAAGCTCCACCTTTGTTAGCTTTTGGAACTCATTCAAAACCACTACCTTCACAAATACCATCTTCAAAAGTTAGATCACCTTCAAAAGCTCTACCTTCAGAAGTTCCACTTTCAGAATCATGATCACAGTCAAAGATTGGATTACCTTTAGAAGCTCCTCCTTCAGAAGGTCTACCTTAAGAGACATAATTTCCACCAAAAACATGATCATATTCAGAAGCTTGACCTCCAGACCTACGTCTTCATAGTTTTCTCTTCTAGAAGCATGGCCACTACTAGATTATGGATCATCATCAAAATCTAGATCAGAATCAGAATCAGATTCACCATCTGACTCATCTTTAGAGTCTCTAGAAGATTCTTCATCCTCTGACTCTAACTCACCTTCATAACTTTCAATTTCTGACTCATCTTCAGAAGCAGAATCTCCTTCAGATTCTGACTCATCTTCTAATTCTTCTTCAGACTCAAAATTACTTTCGGATTCTGACTTGTCTTCAGCTTTAGAGTCATCTTCTAATTCTGAGTCATCTTTAAAAACCTCAGATTCCGACTCATCTTCAAAATCTCCAGCGTCATCTTCTGATTCTAACTCATATTCAAACACTCATTCAGAGTTAGAATATTCAGAGTCATCTTCTTCCCTTTTAGAATCAGAAAGTGACAATCTCACAGGTTCCTCATCAAATTCATAAGCCATTAATAGCACATGTTCATCATCTGAATCTCCTCTGACTATTTTTGTTTCTTCTTTGTTTGACCAACAATCTTTATCAAAGTGGCTAAACCTCTTTCAACAGTAACACTGAACCATTCTCTTGTCATACTTCTCCTCACCCTTCTGATGTTTCTTTTCATCAAAATATAAGACTTTTGACTTTTGGGAACTACCATCATGTCTCTTCTACTTCTGGTCTTTCTTGACACAAGAAGCCTGCAGAGCCTACTCAACTTCCCTTTCAGAAGTTCTTTCAGTCAGACGCAACTCTTGCGCCTCTAGACTGCTTTGCAACTCTTCTTTTCTTATGGTGTCCAGATCTTTAAAATGTTAAATTGCTACAACAATGTAATCAAATTAAGGAGTAAGAGACCTCAATATCTTCTAAATGATTACTTGTTCAGAAAATGTTTCTCCACAACCTTTCATCTCATTAGTGATCATAATCACTCTAGAGATGTACTCAGAAACCTCCTCGTTGTCCTTCATGTTGAGATTCTCATATTGCTTTCATAGGGACTTAAGCTTCACCTTCTTCATTGATGTGTCACCACCGTAACATCTGACTAATATATCCCACGCACCCTTTGACATCGTCGAATCTGCAATCTTCTCAAACACGTTCACATCCACACACTGATGGATGTAGAATAACGCCTTCTGATCTTTCTTCCTCTTGTCTCTTTGTGTGTTTCTCTGCTCTTCCATTGCATTTTCTGCAACTGGAACATAACCTTCGATAACAAGCTCAAGAATATCTTGAGCACCAAACAACACACACATCTGAATCATCCAACAATTCCTGTTGTTGCCATTGAACACTGAAAGCTTGGTACTCAGATTGTCATTTCCATTCATCTTTAACCTTGTACAGAACACTCAGATCTCACAAACACAGTATTTCCCAATCCCGCAAAATCAGAAAATGTAATTTTGTTCAGATTTTGTTCAAGATTCAACACGAATTCAAGAACCAAAATCAATCACACAATGTCTTACTATTTCACTCGTGTTTTCCGTGAATCCAACCAGGCTTTGATACCAATTGTTAGTGCATAAGGATCAATGATGAACAAAAAGAATATATTTATGAGAGTAAGAGAATGACAGCTACAAAGTTGTAAGGAATAATGATTGAACAATGACTATTGTTACTGTTACAAATGACAACAACTACTAATCTATTTATACACAAAGTAAATTGCCACGTAGACCCTAATAAAAGATAAACTTAATGACTAAGTTAAAATGTACAAACTAGAAAATACTAAACTTAACAGCTAAACTAACAAACTCAGAACTCATAATTTCAGAAGCTAAGCATACTTCTGGGCGTAACCTCAAAATTTTCTGATTCTGATTAATAACAACTTCTGATTACATCAAACTACTACTTCTAACTAAACAGTCTCAGAAGCTTACAACTTATGACTAACAACTTCAAAAATTCTACTACTTATGAATAACAACATCTTTTAAATATGAATTACTTCTAACAATTTATAGAAATGCAGATGCATGAAAATGAATTTTATTATCTATGACAAGGCACCTCAATTTCTGAAGCTTTATTTAGACTCTATGCTTTTGAGATTGTTTATCCCATTGTTGAGTTAGTGTAGTTGTTTTTCTTTTTATTTTATAAATAAAAAAAAATTAATAGATATCACTTCTTACGTAAAAAAAAATTAACAATGCAATGCATTTTTAAAAAAGCTTAGATCTAATCAAATCATCTCTAATTTCATCTTAAATTAAAATTTATTTGTCATAACTTCATTGGTTTGAGCTGATAAAAAATAAAGCAAGGATCAAACAGACCCATAGAATCCGCTAAAGAATCAGCATCACGCCGTTACCTCACCCAATCTCTCACAACACTATGTTTCAATTGCCACAGTAAAACATCACAACTGAAACCGATTTTTGTCATAATCTCTGTATCCCAAATCTCTCTCCTAAATCAAACCTTCAATCTCATTTCAAATTTCCCAAAAACCATCTCTATAAAAAAAAAAACTCACCTAGGGTTTTATTTCATTCCTCACTACACAATGAAAGCTTCACTCAAATTCCGTGACGAACAAAGGAAACCCTTATTAAGAGCCAAAATCCCCCTAAGCATTTTAGGTACACCATTCCAATCAGGAATCGTAGCTGGTGAATCCAAAGAACAATCTCTCAATCTCTCAACGTTCTTCCAATCCGGTCCGTCGCTTAAACTCGCGTACCGGCCCAACGACTCTCAGAACCCGTTCTCGTTGATCGTTAAAACCGGAACCGGTTCGTTCGGTTCGCCGGTTTCGAGTTCTATGGTTATGAGTTGTGAATTCAATTTGCTTAACCGGAGTAAAACCGGTGGGGTCCAGCCGCTTTTTATGCTTCATTTTAAGCCGCGGTTTGGGGATTTCAGTTTTAAGAAATCTCAGTCGTCGATTCTGGATGTGAAGAATTACGCTTTTCAAAATGGTGGCGTTTTGGGGAATGATGATGATAATATTGAGTTTGTTGAATCTGTTGAGTCTGTTAAGTCTGTTAAGTCGCCGGTGATGGGAGCTTTTTCCGCTGGGAAAGTTCCGTCTCCCGGCGCGATTGCGGGTTTGTTTTCGGGTACGGAGGTTGCTGCGAGGACGACGTTGCCGATTAGGGGACGTGCGGCGGTGAATTTTAGGTGGGGGGTTAGGGTTCCGGCGGAGGTTAAAGGGGAGAGTGCTTTTCAGAAGGTTCCGTTTCTTGTGATGGATAAGATTGGGGTTGAACATTTGCCTGCTGAGTGTGTGGATGTGAAGGATGCGAAGGATTTGAAGAAAGAAAAAAATGTTGCTGGAGTGGGGATTATTCCGGGGAGTGGTGATTTGACGGCGACGTGTTTTGCGGTGAAGAGGCAAATGGATGTTTTGCAGGTGGAGAATGGGTTGCTGAGGAATGCTGTGGAGGATCTTCGGCGAGAATTTGCTGGTGCGCGAAATGGAGGAGGTTTGGAGTTTGAGAGGAATGGAGGTAGAGGGAAAAGCTTTGAGGGGAGAAAGAATGAGAAGAAAGTGACGTCGGATTTTAATGGTTATCCGGGGAAATCGAATGAGGCTGATGCGAGTGAGGAGTTGAAGAAGGCGTTGAGGGGAGCTACCACGGTTGGAGTTTGAATTCAAAATAAATGAAATTAGGGAGCTACCACGGTTGGAGTTTGAATTCAAAATAAATGAAATTAGGTTTATGGTGCAGCCATCGGCAAGTGCTGTTTGAATTTTCACAATTTTGTTTATATATCATAAATCTGATGAAGTAGAATTGTGTTTTCGTTTGTCATAAGTTTCTAGTTTCAGTTTTGGAACTTCAAATTGTTTGTTCATTGTAATATGAATGATGATGATGATGATTATATAAACATGTTGATTTGGTTGGTTTACCGTATCCAGTGAATTGTTCTTGTAATTTACAAAGTGTATTTTGTTTCATGTTGGTAAACACTACTCTCAAATAGACTAGTTCTACTCTACCTATAGCGATTTCTTTCTTTCATGTTTCTGAGTTTTGTAACATGCAGCAATGTTTAAAAAAAAAACTATATGCACTAATGTTCTTCCCAAATTGATGAAAGATTTGATTTGGTATAATGAGCTAATCAAACATGTTCTTCCCAAATTTGACAAATTGAATTCATGATTTGTGTATTTCTATCTAGAGGTTGTTTCTGTACATTATTGTGATTTGGTAATAAATAAGTTTTTTCTTATTGAAATATGCTGGAGGGGTTGTGATGTGTGAATGTATTCGACCATATATAATTATAGTTAGTTTCTATATTTATATTTCTTTAGACTTTTGGGTTAGAAATCTAGAGGTAAAAGAATCAGATTTGAAATTCAAATGTTCATCATTTTCATGCCGGATAAATGACGAGTGCAAATAAGTCAATCATTGACATTAATATACTCAATAAGAGAGAATTGTCATTTGAAAAATTCAATAAATGCTTATGTTGTCTCATGTGCCAAGTTTAGCTATTAGGTCCGTTTATATATATATATATATATATATATATATATATATATATATATATATGGTAATGTAATAGCATATTTCATTCTTGTGTTTTAGACCGACCTTAGACTCAATTACGAGAAGGTCCAATCCAAAGACATAAATGCGGAATTGTTGAAGGTTGAGTGATCTTGCAGTCAAAAGACCAGCCAAAAGGCCATCACCTGATCATTGTCCTCGGGTGATTGTACGCTGTCAGATTTAATCGAAGGGTTCTCCACATTCCCTGTCAAGTGATTTGGGACAGTTCTAACTATCATCAATACATAAAGCTCTTCACGCGCCAACATATAGTATTCTACTCATTCTTACACCCACATTACTCATTCATTCACTGACTTGGACGTCCGAGTACTAACATCGCATGTCCATCACACTGTCGTGTCGGAAGCCCGCTTCTCCGCGCCTAAGACAGTTTTCACTCTGTCATCAACTATTTCTAGTCCCTGAACGGGACAATAGCATCTTCTGTGGGTATCAGCATTTAATTCTCATGAATTTCTATGATCAAAGCCTTTTGATTCCAAAGGTCACAAATTGTTACAACAATCTCACTCAAAAGAAGACGATGATGTATGGTTTATCTATGGAAGTCATCGTAGGCTCACCTACCGTAAAACCATCCTCTTACATTGTTGTCTCTTCGATTGATAGTCGATCATATGGCAAAGGAAGTTAAACAAAAAACATTCAACGCAAAGATCTTCAAAATTGCTAGTTGCAACTAGAAGGCATGAAGAGGACAAACCTATCTTAGGGTTTCGAGACAGCGAGAAGGTGAACAAGATTCCTTTTCGTTGGTCCTAACTGCCGATATATTAAACCATTAAGTGTCAGAGATCTTTATTGACGATGGAAGTTCTTGTGATGTCATGTAGGCCAACATCGTCACAAATTCAGGGTTACGTGATCGAGACGTCTGAAGCGCCTCGAAAAATATAAAACAATGAAGCCATCACTGAACTTTATTTATACCAAAGGGGAAAAGGAAAATATCAAGAAAATCTCTAAGATGGGAAAGAACATGGTCTTGCGACCAAGAGAAGGGTACAAAAGTCTATTACGCGAGGGGAATATATTAGCACCTCTCATGTTCGTTGTACTCAATGAGATCCAGTCTTGTTGTTCTAATCAAATGGTGTATATATCTAATGCTAAACTTGTTAAGGGAAAATGCATGAATGAATTATTGGGAAAAAGAAAAGATTTTTATTATTGTGTTCGCCTCGGTTGTGAAACCCCATGCCTACGTATCTGATCTTATCGGTTGATCAAAATCTGCAAGATGGTCGGATGATGATCTTCTGTCAGGCTGTAACGTCGAGGAGGAAAAATGGGGTTGTACTTGTAAGACACTCCGACGATCAAGTAAGTGTGGGAGCAAAGAGATATAAGTAAAGAGTTAGGGTTTTAGTAGTAAATGGTGAATATTTGATATCTGGCTCTCACATGTGTGAGGGTTTATTAAATGCCCCTAGCGTGTGGCCATTGATTCCTATTTTTGGGCCTAGATATGTGGGTTCGTGAAAATAGGTAACTGCCAGAACTTGGTCATACCGCGCAGGTGTGCCCGCAACTAGTCGTTGGTTCCGAGGAGGAGGTAGGTTATGGGCATCAGTCTAGTCAGTTTCTGGTTGTCTGGGAGACTTGAGGTCGGGTAGACTGAGAGACGCTCGACAGATGTCGTAAGTCAGTGACAGTCCAGAAGAGCAAACGATCGATGGTGCCCGACGAAGGGCGGGGGAGATTCGGGTTGTGTCGTATACGCCTTACTGAAGGAGGACTCTAGACTGGGCCCACACAGGATGTTGAGTCAGTACAAAACAGTTCCCCCCCCCAAGTCGTTGCTTTTGGGCATATGAGTGATGGCTTTAACACCTGCTTGTAGGATGGGGCGCTTTTTACGGGGAGCATGAGCGTCGCCTTTTGCGCCTTTCTCACGGGGAGACAATGAATTGGTAGTTTTGAGCTTCGAATTTGAAGAGGTAGGTGTTTCAGGTAGTGTGTTGACGAAGCGGTGCAATGATGGCCTATGGGCTAGAGTGCAATGATGGTGACCATATGGTTCCCTATGCGTGTGTCTCTCACGCATGGGCAGTCCCGGCTATAAATACGAGAGAAGCAGGACATTTTGTACTTTTCATTCTTCTCTCATACTGCTCTTCTGTTCGAACACTGTTGTTTCTTGGAGATTTGCTTCTCGCTGCCGCCCTTTTCAGCCTTCATTCTTCTCCAACTGATAAGATTTCAATTCTTCGTTTTTGTTAGGCTTTTGTAGTTCAGATTTTTGAGATTTTAGCCTTAGAAATGCATGCAGTTAGGGTTAGGATCTTGCCAGTTGGGGTGTTTTTAGATGAGTGTTGGTAGAGGACGTTGGTTCTGCATTTTCAGAGATGTCGGAGTTGTTGCGAGTTTTCTCCTGATATTCGCGACGCACCGTGGGTGGTCCTTGAAGACTTAGGTTGTTTTCCCTGACTCGAGCCTGTCTTGTTGAAGAGGCGTTTGTTCGCTCAGATGCCTTAGTGAGGGTTTTGGTCGGGGACATAGGCCTTGTTTATCAGCTCCCTTTGACTTGATTAATGGTGGAAGGGTGGTTCTGAAAATGATGTCGAACTCACCTCTGTCCTCTGCTTTCTAGGTACTATGGCCGATAATACCGAGGACAACTTTTAAGATTGACGAACTGGATCCTCTCAGAGCTTTACGCACGATACTTTCAGTATGTCGAGTGTCCATGAGATTTCTGGGGATGAACCGAACAGATCTGATCAGTAGTTAGGGGGAGAGGACACGAAGATGGCGCCCTTCGACCAGGTGGCCTATTTCCGCCCAACGAAGATGAGGACCTGCGATCTTGGGATTGGATTTCTTATTTTTTTTTACCACCGTGATGAGGTTTTCATTGAAGTATACGCACACGACGACAGAGGTCGAGGGGACTGGTCGCTTTGGATCCCTAGGAAAGACATCCAGATCTGCTCCAAATATGATAATATGCAGATCCATATGTACGACATCATATTCCCAGAGATGGGCCTCTGACTCCCCTTCTCACATTTTCAAATGGTCGTTTTTCGTCATCTCTGACTGTCCCCTTCCTAGTTGCATTCGAATAGGGCTGATTTCATGCGGGCGTTCAAGATTATTTGGGAATACTTGAAGATTGGGGCCACCATCCCTCTGTTCTTCTACTGTTTCCATCCCCAGAGGAGCAGGATTGATGGTAAGTGGAAATGGGTTTCCTTGAAGCAAGGCAACGGGAAGCTGTTCAAAGCTTATTTGGAGTTTGTCTGGCATTTTAAGGACAAGTATTTTCTAGTGCAGCCTCTTTCGAGCAGAGAGATGCTGAACGTTTTCTGGACTGCACCAGTATATGACGAGAATGGGGCCTCTGTTTTAAACAAGTTGTGAGAGCATGTGAACAAGTTGGTTTACAAGTTTCCTTTCCAGTGGACGAGGAAGCATTTCGATAATAAATTAGGTTCCTATGTCTAGAGAAAGGGGAGCTTGATGTCAAGGACCAAGAGATCTTTGCCGTCTTGACCGCTTTTGTGTCATGGACTCCTCGCGTCCAGCAAGCGGGCCGGGGAGGTAAAGCGGTAACGGACAAGAACAAAGAGGTTGTATATGAGACTGGGTTGATAGTTGTTAAGGAGCTTCTTGAGAGCGAGGTGTTGTACCCCAAAATTTATCCTCTTCATTATGATCCTAATTGGTTTATATTTCATTATCATATGCATACATGCATTCTATGGGATCAAGGTATTTTTGTCAACACAACAAATCTCCCGTATTTGTTTAACGCATGCCGAGTTGCAAAAGACTTGGTTATTTTTGGTGAATTTTAAGCAGTGCGGATAAGAAACAGTTTTTCAGCTGATTTGAGTTTGGAAATTCATATCTCTCGTTTGTAACAATGTTTTGGATTGATTCCTTAGGTTTTGAAATCGTCTCGACGTTCTCTTCAACTTTCATATTCGAACCAAAATCTAAATCTCGAAGGAATGTCTCCGAATACGCCATTCTTTTGGAAGTTATACAGTGAAAAAATATAAAGGAAGTGGGTTGAACCGTTATTTCGTGTGCACTAAAAAAATTTGTA